CTGGTAAACTCTCAAAAAGCCATAGTTAAGTTTTGAAATAATTTAAAAAAAAAAATTTATAGATGGGAAATATACAGGAAACACACTCCCCCACCCCCACTGATTGTTCTGAAATATCTTGGAGATTATCTTCCAAACCTCAGCATCTGGGAATGTGCTTATAAAATATTTCACAGAATAAGCCTAAAGTAACGTGGCTCCTGTTTTTTAGATTTTTCTTTACAAGAGGTGGCCACTAGATTCTTGTTGCTTTAAACATTTTTGAAGCAAAGATGCTATTTCAGCTGTTCTGTAGAGTACAGATCAGGGCTTACAGGGGACTGTGGACTGCTAGAGAACTGCAGTCCGAATTTCCAGACTGTTTTCACAGTCTCTAAAGATGTCCATAGGCCTACAGGTAAGATCACTTTCAGTAACTTGTTTTTGAACAATATTTCTGTTGCTGCATCCTAGGATTGTATTTGCTTTATTTTTTCCACATCTGTATCACACTGTTGGCTCATGCTTGGTTTGTAATCCATCAAGACACCCAGCTTCTTTTGGCATATACTGCTGCCCACTATGCCTTTCCATTTTATATTCATGTCTTTGATTTTTTTCCCTACTCAAATTTGTATTTGTCCCTGTTGAAATTGGTCTCGCTGACTTTTGCCCATTCTTCCAACTTGTCATGATCCTCCTGAATCTCGATACTATCCTGTGTTTGCTGTTCCCTCTATCTTTGTGTCGATTGCAAATTTGAGAATCAAATTTTCTAATGCCTTATCCAGGTCGTGTGTGTGTGTGTGTGTGTGTGTGTGTGTGTGTAAGTGAAACCTTGTTTAATGGACTAATTGAGGTTAGGTGGTGTCTGTTATTCAGGAATGTCTATTGAATCAGAGTGTAGGGCATTGGGATTTATATCACATGATAATGTCATGCAGATTATGCAAATTACATTATTGTGTCAATTTATATCATTTCTCTAATAATATTTTGCAAATGATGTAAATCACAGGAGAAATTTAAGCTGCTGTATGAAAAGTGTTGCATCTATATCCAGTAAAAGGTTTCACTATATGTTGTATAAGGCCTGGAACAGAACCCTGCATTAAACTACTGGTCACCTCCTTCCAGCTTGATGCAGATTGATTGGCATACACTCTTACGGTATGATTTGTCATCTGTTTCTATCCATCTAATGATAGCATAGTCCAGCTCACATTTTGCCATCTTCTCTACTAGAATGTCATGGGAGACCATGTCAAGGTATACTGTGTTCACTGCATCCCCACAGTTAACTAAACTGGTCTGTTATCAGAAAAGGAGACAATGTAGGTTTGGCATAGTTTGCTCTTGATAATCGCACGCTGATTCCTGACAAGCAGTGCATTATTTTCTAAATGTCACAGGCCAACAGCTTACTAACATGTTCCAGAGACTTGTCCATTATCAACATCAAGGTGATCAGTCTGTAGTTTCCTGCATCCCCTTTTCCCCCTTTTTTGAAGATGGGAACAACTTTTACTCTTTTCCAGTACTCTGGTGCTATGCTTGCTCTCAGTGATTACTCAGAAGGCACAGAAAGTGGCTCCAAAATTACGTTCTCAAGCTCCTTCAAGATTCTTGGATATAATTGATCTGGTCCTTGAACTTAAAATTGTTTATGGCAGCTAGGTACTCCTAACCATCTTTTTACTTACTTTGGGTTGCCACTCCTTCCATATGTTATTTATTCTACTTTGGTCTATTTGAACACATTGTCCTTTTGAGGAAAAGACTAAGGAGGAGCTTTGCTTTCTCCTTGTCATGTACAATTACCTCACCAACCTTCCTGAATAGTGGACCATCAGTTCCTTTTACTGTTGACATAATTAAAACACACAAACATTTTTTTTTCCTTTTAGCTTCTCTTGTAAGTTCTCTTTGTTGTTTTAGCCTTTCTGGGTTTTTTCCTGCAGGAATTAGCTATTTGCTGGTATGCCCATCTTCCATTTCCTATAAATGTCTCTCTTAACTCAGTCAGAAGCTCCCTAATGCGTCCCCGACTGTTTTCTCAGCTTCCCCACTCCACTTTTTCTTCTCATTAGAATGGTGTGTGATTGTACTTTCAGTATCTTATTTCTGAAAAGTTCTCAATTTCCTGAGCTCCGATTGACCTAAGGATTTTGGTGCATGAGATCCTGCCTAATACTTCTCTAGGCTTGTTGAAATTGGCTCTCCTGAAATCTGATGTCTGTGTATGACTGTACTCCAGTGTCTCTTTCTGTAATATTTTGAACCCCAAAGTGTCATATCTGTTGGGGTTACAAGACCATAATTCAAACATTTCTAGTAGTGTAGCTAAATTTTGTATCATCTCTTTCTGTGTTATGTTGGTTTCTGGTAAAGACTGCAGGTAATCCTTGCTTAATGACCTTTCGTGCAGCAGTCGTTTAAAGTTACAGCAGTGCTGAACGAATGGTATTTACACCTGGTCCTCAAAGTTACAGCCATTGGAGTGCCCCTGCGGTCATGCAGTCACAATTCAGATGCTTGGCAGCCCTGCCCACATTTACAACCACAGAGTGCCCTTCAGCAACCCCCACCCACCTATCTCCTTTTGGCCCCCTGCACTCTGTGCAGCAAAAGTCAACTGGGGGTGATAGAGTGCAGGGCTGAGGGCCATGGAGTATGGGGTGGTGAGGGAGACTATGGCTGGATCTTCACAGTGCTGGACTGGGGTGGCTGGGTCTTTGCACCATGCTGCTGGGCTTGGAGTAGCTAGGGTTTTGTGTGTGCTGTTGTGCTGGGGCAGCTGCAGCTTTGCACTGGGCCAGGACAGCTGTTTGCACAACCTCCCGCCCTGGCACCAGCCGCCCCAGCCCAGGATATCCTCGTGCCTTCCCCATTGACTTTGCTTGTTGGAAGCTGGCAGGAAGTTGTGAGGTCCTTGCTTAATGAACCACAATTCTCGCTTAATGACAGCAGTGAGGACTGCTGGGATTGCTGTCACTAGGTGATGCAGATGCTTTACAACTGCATCACTTAGCGACAGAAATTCTGGTCCCGATTGCCATTGTTAACGAAAGATTACCTGTAATGTTTCCTGGTTTACTTTAGGATTTCAGAAATAAACCTTGGATATTCTAAATAGTATTTATAGGAAACTTTTTATATTTTGTAAGTGGCCATATTAAGCTTGTTTTTGGGGCTGTAGTAAACCTTATTGACTTTATTTGTGATGGTAAGCTATAAAAGCTAGTGCTCATAGGAGTTGATCTGTAATGAATACTGTATTAAGGTAGGGATATGAAGGTTTGAGTAGAAAAGAAATAGTTTATATTACTGATTAATGTGATAGAAGGGCTGCATATGCCATTAAGCAAAAGTAATTTCTGGAACTCCAACCCAAATAAAGTAGAAAATTACTCAGTTTTTCAGCTTAATTTATAATTAAGAAAAGTCATTGAATGTTTCAAAAATATGTTTGAAAAATCTAAAATATTGTATTTATGTATTTATTTATTATTTCTATCTCACTTTTCTGCCTGTAATTTTAAGTATAGATTGCTTTTCTCCTGACTGATAGTAATTGCTCAGGTCCGGCACTCCAACCCTGATTCTGTCTTTTTGCTTTAAAGATTATAGTCATCTAACTATCCAATGAAATTATATAACAAGAACTACAGGAAAAAAAATCACTGGCATAGAAGGAAGTGCAAAGTAACTTATAAAATTAGGAGATAAAATAGGAAAGTACAGTAACTTTATCCTTTCCATTCCTCCCTATTTATTAACAGAATGCAATATTTTAAAATTAGGAAATTATTAAAGTTATGGTTAAAAAGTATAGTTTTATATTTACTTATTTGAATGGGAGATCATTCTTAAGTTGAAATGTGTTTTCTAGATGTCTTCTAAAGTCATATGAAAATACTGTATTTTAAAATAACTTTAATCATGATATTATTTAAATGAGGAATGAGATGTGAAGAAAACACAGCCCTCCAGATATGCTTTATAACTTTCAGAAACCTAAGCTATTATGACCAGTAATGAGGCATATTGGCCACTGCAATTTAGTTTCAGTTGGAAAGTCATAGATCCTGATTTCTAACAAAGAGCAAATGTCTCAGAAATAAGTATCTAGTTTTGCAGTATAACTTTCATGTTAACTTTCAGTTAATGGAAGGGATTGCATCAGAGCTTCTAACTTCCTTCAACAGCCAGCTCAGTTCAAGTTGTTGCTGTGCCAGTAATTACGTAATGCTTCTTCCTTAAGAAAGTATTGTGGTTTTATCCCTGTGAAAGTATCATGTGTACTTACTGAAGCATTCTGTTGTTCCTAATGGCCTCAATACAATATTTTTAAAAGATTGTTTAGGCTAGCTTCTAGCTGATATTCTAACAGCATTTGCTAAGATAAAAATCCTAGCAAATCTCCTTTCTAATTCAGAAATAAATAGAAATAAAATCTGTTATTACTTTGGTCACCTAATGCGAAGAGAGGACTCTTTGGAAAAGAACCTGATGCTGGGAAAGATTGAAGGCAAAAGGAGAAGAGGATGGCAGAGGATGAGATAATTAGATAGCATCACTGAAG